GGGGTCTTTGTATTTACCTTGACTCAATTGTAACACTGTTACATCCAATTCCAGCTTCAGTTTCTCAAAACTGCAGGGTCAATTCTACCATTTCACGGTCACTGCTCGCTAGGGGTTCCTTCACCCTAAGCTCCATAATCACATTCAGCCTCATTATACATCACCAAATCCAGAATTGCCTGTTCCTTTGTGGGCTGTGCCAAAAGCTGTGCCAAAAAAACCCATCGCATAATCATTCCACAAATTCCTTTCCTTGGGATCCGCTACCAACATGATTTTCCCAGTCCATCTGCATATTGAAGTCCCTCATGATGATTGTAATAGCGCCTTTCTTACCTGCCCTTTCTATCTCCTGATTTACTTTCAGCCCCCCATCCTGACTACTGCTAAGAGGCCTGTATAACTCCCATCAGGTCTTTTTATCCCTTTGTGGCTCCTCAACTCTACTCACACAGATTTTACACCTTTAAACTCCAAATCACTTCTTGCCATCAGTTTAATTTCATCTCTTACTAACAAGGTAATTCTGCCACTCTGCCCATCTGCCTGTCCTTTTGATAGTTCGTGAATCCTTGGATATTTAGTTCCCAGCCCTGATCCCCTTGCTGCCATGTCTCTGTGATACCCACAACATCATACCTGCCAATTTCAATCTGTGCCATAAGCCCATTCACCTTCTTTCAGGTACTGCATACATTTAAGTACAACATCCTCAGTCCTGCATTGACTATCCCCCTTCCCATCGCTGTCCCCTCATCTGCTGTGCCTGAAGTTAGATTCCTGACCATTTCCGTACTCTCTGTCCTATTACTTGTTTTGGAAATTTTAATAACCTTTCCTGAGCCCTCCTCCAACCCTTTTAATGTTTTCCGTAATTTTCCATGCAACTGTACCCATTCACCAATTATTTAGTTTAAAGCCCTACCCACAGCCCTTGTCATGCAATTCACCAGGAATCTGGTCCCAGCTTGTTTCAGGTAGAGCCCATCCCATTGGAACTGCTCCATCTTTCCCCAGTACTGGGGCCAATACCCTATGAATTTGAACCTGCTTCTCCCATACCAATCTTTTAGCCTCGCATTTATCTCTTTAAGTTGGTTGCCCCTGTGCCAATTAGTTAGTGGCTCAGGAATTAATCCAGAGATTATTATCATTCTGGTTCTACTTTTTAATTTAGTCCCTAGCTGCTCATTTTCCCTCAGCAGACCCCCTTTGCTTTTTCTACTGATATTGTTGGCACGTACATGGACTACAACAACTGGGTCTTTCCCCTTCCACTCCAAGTTCCTTTGCAGTGCAGATGAGATATCCTGAACGCAGGCACCAGGCAGACAACATAGCCTTCGGGACCCTCAATCCTGGGCACAGAGAACAGCGTCTATTCTCCTGACCATACTATCCCTGATTACAACGATATTTCTCTTTACTCCCCACCTCCCAGCTTCTTGAATGGCTCCCTGTACCATGGTGCTATGGTCTTCCTCCCTAAAGTCCCTGCTCTCATCCATACACAGAGTAAGAATCTCCAACCTGTTGGAGAAGCTCCATGGCTGAGTCTGCTTCAGCACTACCTCCTGGATCCCTCTACCTGCCTCACAGGTGGTCACACCCACCTGTCCCTGACCACTGTGTGAATTCAAGGTAGTTAATCAAAGGGGTGTGACTTCCTCTAGAAACACAGCATTCAGGGGACTCTCTCCTTGCCTTCCCAGTGTTCAAAGCTCAGACTCGGGTTCATCAGCTCTGAGCCAGTGTTCCTTAAGCAACCAACGCTTGCTGCAGATGTGGTCATTCTGAGCCACAATGGGTCCAGCAACACCCACATCATGCAGGTAGAACACATCGCCTCACCCTGCATTCTGTTTTATTCACTTACTTTGAATTTTAAAGATTTCTGACTGATCTTTTAGTTTGTAATCTGTAAATATTTCCCTCATTTACCCTCAGTCTGAAAGTAACATATCACAGATAGACAAATTACTAGCTTTAACCAACTAATTAACCTTTGGTTTTCCTGTGATGTTAATCTTTGTGCTCATCAAGTTATCCTTGGAGCTATGAGCTAAAAAAGACAAGCAAAAAGCACCTCTTTCCCTCTGCACCAAATTCCCATGCTGCCTCCAAAATTCCCCAAATTATATATACTCACTCGGGCAGTGTCTCAGTCCTGATGTGATCTCTCTTTCCTGCTTGTGTACAGCTCATTGTTAGCACCTTCAAGAGCACTTCACAAACCTTGGATCTTTGACATTGAAAAGGACAAGTGCAGATGACACCTGAATAATGTAACCCCTTCAAAGTTTCTACCCAAGCCATGTGCCATCCTGATATGGAACTATATCAACATTGCTCAGTGTTGTGTTAAAGTTCTAACCCTCCTTTCTTAATGGTACCATGGGTCTAACTACATCATAAAGATTACTACGTTTCAATAAGAGACCACCATCTTCTCAAGGGGTATAAGGGTGGTTCATAAAGTCTAGACTAGCCAGGAACAGCCACATCCCAAGAATTAGTAACTTAACAAGATTAAAAGAGAGGGCACAAGGAAATACAATAGCAGCTGAAGCAACTTGCATGGCTAGGGACTTACAAAAGCCCGTAATGTATTTAAATGAATGAAGAGTCCCTCATCAAAATTAGCCAAACTGAGAGCTTTAGGCCCAATAGAACTCAGATGCCTCCCTGTAAGTGACCAATTGATCTTCACAGAAAAATTGGGCAACAGCAGGAAGCACATCCAAAGGGGATAAATGAACTCCTGTTAGTCTAATAGTCCCTCTCACACCTCCACTGCAGCCCTGAATTCCACCAGGTGGGGCAGTTAAAATCAGACAACCGCCAATGAAAGTGGCAGATGCAGGTACAGTTTCAACATTTAAAAGACATTTGGATAGGTTCATGAATAGGAAAGTTTTAGAGGGATATGGGCTAATTGCAGGCAAGTGGGACTAGTTTAGTTTGGGAAACTTGGTTGGCATGGACAAGTTGGACCGAAGGGTCTGTTTCCATGCTGTATGACTCTGTGGTGACCCTATTATGAAGCTGCATCCAACATGAAGTTTTTAAGACAGGGAAAATAACAATGGGAAAAAGCATACTTATCATTTTCTTCTGCTTGTTCCACATCAAAAGCTGGTCTGACTCATCTTGAGCTGCTGCACCTTGATTACAAGCTACGGAATTAATCATTGTTCAAAATGCCGAAAATAATCCACCACCTCTCAGGCTTTAACAAGGTCCTTGTCTGTGCTACTTCAGTACTTTGCGTGGGATATGCACTGAGATGGCACTGCTCAATTCAGGTCTTTTTTTTTAATATAATGCATCCTTCAGATCCTTCTTTAAAACCAGGAGAAATAGGAACAGGAGTGGGCCATTCGCCCCCTCGAGCCTGCACTACCATTCAATTGGGTCATGGCTGATCCAACATCCCTCATGTACATCTGCCTGCCCTTTCCCATAATGTTTGATTCCCCTACTGATCAAGAATCCATCTCTCTCAGCCTTAAATATGGATAAGGGGTGACACGGTGGCTCAGTGGTTAGCACTGCTGCCTCACAGCGCCAGGGACCCAGGTTTGATTCTCCAGCGACTATCTGTGTAGTGTTTGCACATTCTCCCCACCTCTGGGTGCTCTGGTTTCCTCCCATAGTCCAAAGATATGTAGGTTAGCTGGATTGGCAATATTAAATTGCCCCATAGTGTCTAGGAATGTGCAGGCTAGGTGGGTCAGCCATGGGAAATGCAAGGTTACAGGGATGGGGTAAAGAGGTGGGTCTGGGTGGGATGCTCTTCAGAGGATCAGTGTGAACTCAATGGGCTCTGCTTCCACAGTTCCCTGAGCTGACTTACAATCCTCTGAGAGAAGAAGTTTTAATTCAACTATGTTATTAAAGAGAGGAGATTTACATTCTGATGCATTGCTTGTACTAAAAGGGAGTGAATCCTGGAAGAACAGGCTACTCAAGAATTATTTTTGTGACTCCATACCTTTGGTCAGGGAACCTGCATTTAAACTCCTTTGTCATTGTGCATAGCCATTTGTTTTTGGCAATAGTTTCAGCCTGAAGAAGCAGGAAACAAAGCAAACTCACGAAACCTTGTGACCTCTGACATCCAACTGCCCCTCCCCTACGCTCCACCCATTGGTTCTCCATTCATTGAGAACAGGCAGCTAAGGTCTCCCGGAGAGCAAGATAAGCGGAAGACTCATCAAAGACTGTTGAAATTTTAACTTAATTCCTTTATTTTCTAGTTTAAATTAAGAAAGACTTTAATGTTAATTATTGTCTTATTTCTTTATTTTTCTAGTTATTTTGTGAAGATAATGCTTAACTTGTTAACTGTGTTTCTCTAACTACTTTGTATCTAGGATTTTTGCACCTGGGTACCTAAGATGGCACTGTGTGTGGCGACATTATACACTTATCACTGTATTCCTGTACTTGAGTACACATGACAATAAAATCTAAATCTAAATTCTCATCGTGCCCTGCCTGCCATGTGCATTGACAATGTGATCAGTCCCTTTGGTACATAATTGGACAATTTTTCACTCAGTGAAAGTAGACTTTTCCCTTGCTGTTGAATTCTAAGGCCTATGGAAGTGACTAAACAAAACTGTGTCCTGGTAATTTTATTTGTTTGTTTCTGCCAGACTACTTCAGGAAGTGTCCTGAGTTAATCTTTAATTTGTGGACAATTCTTAGGCGTGGGCAACCTCCAGTGGCCCGTAAGCCAATGAAAACAGGAGTGGGAGAATGAAAAGAAAACAATGTTGGAAAATTAGAGGGCTAAAAATATATGCAGTGACAGTTGTTTCTTGGTTTCTGCTGCAGATCACTGAAACATCGTTAAGGCTGAAGATGTACCTATAATTTCAGCTCAGCTGAGGCACAAATGTGAACTGGTAATGACTGCCTTCATTGTATCCAAATATAGCAGTACATGACTCAACTGTGATGCAAAAGCAGCGCTGTTAAATAAAACTACTTACCATAAAATATATCCAGTCGAAAAGATGCTAACTGCAGCCTGGCCTGAATTCCTGTTGGGATAATGATAATGTGTTGTCCTCATTTCAATTAGAATGAAGGGGAGGACTGTAGTGTGCTAGAGAGATAGAAAGAAAAAAGACGAAAATGAGAAAGGAAGCATGCTGTGTAGAAAAACAAAAAATTATATGTGTTCATTAGCAATTCAGATTGACCACTGTAACAATTGAAGAAAGTACTTGTAGATAAGGTGATTCTGGTCAAATGTTTGACAATATCCCTTCAGTTTCCTGCAAAGATGGGGAGGCGATGGCCTAGTGGTATTATCGCTAGATTGTTAATCCAGAGGCCCAGAAAACATTCTGGGGATCTGGGTTTGAATCCTGCCACGGCAGGATTCAATAAAATATCTGGAATTAAGAATCTAATGATGACCACAAATCCATTGTTGATTGTTGGGGAAAAACCCATCTGGTTCACTAATGTCCTTTAGGGAGGCCTACATGTGACTCCAGACCCACAGCAATGTGGTTGACTCTCAGCTGCCCTTAGGGCAATAAATGCTGCCTAGCCAGTGACACCCTCATCCCGTTAATGAATAAAAGGGAAAAAAAATGTCACTTAGTGATCCCAGAAGCTCAGGCTTATGCTGTGGGGGGTGTGGGTTCAAATCTGACCACGGCACTTAAGTTGATAAATCTGGCATATAAAGTTGGTAATGCTGATCAAGTTCTGTGACCTCACCTGGCTCATCATTGCCCTTCAATGAAGGAACATTGACTTCCTTTACCTGATCTTGTCCACACATGACTCCAGATACACAGCAACATGGTTGATGCTCAATGGCTCCAGCAAGTCACTCAGTTGTACCAAACTGTGGTTGTTTGAGAAAATGGCTCAGTCCCACCTTGTCATTGTGAGTGGCAGGTAATGTTGACTTTGCCAGTAAAGACCACATCCAATGAAAAAAGGGATGGCAACAGTTCACTGTAGGATAGTACAATCTGCCTCTCCTCTCCCCAGTGCCTAGATACTGGGGATAATCTAGTTTGAATGCTGGTGAATTCTGATATAAATTTTTGTAATCATATACCTTTTATTAAAAAAAAACAAACTACAAATTTAGCCACTTAGTGCGGGAGGGCAGATTTAACAGGTGTGGAAGCAAACAAGCCAGCAAATGAAGGTCAAATTTCTGAGCATTGTCAAAAAGAACAAGAAAGTTTATTGTTGTTTACTGGCATGCCAAACTATTTTTGACAGGCAGTAATTATACTCCAGGCACAATGCACGTAGCACTTAACCGCCCACCACACAATAACAGGCAATTAAACCACCTTGAGGATGTACAGTGAACTCAAAAGTAGAAACTACAAACGTTAGTAACCTGAAGTAAAAACAGAAAATGTTGAAAAATGCACAGCAGGGCAGCCAGGCATTGTAAAGAGAACAAGTTGAAAAATTAATTGGGAGATGCGGATGTTGTCTCTTGAGAAGATAATGCTGAGCCACCTTCTTGAACCATTGCAATCCACCCACGGAGTTGCGGGGGCGGGAGCCAGGATTCTGTCCCAGGAACAAAGATATATTTCCAAGTCAGGATGGCACGAGGCTTGGAGGTGAGATTGCAGGCTGTTCCCATGCATCTGCTGACCTTGTCTTTCCCCTAGGATGGGGGCTTTCAAGACCGGGGCGGGGGGCACATTTTTTAAGGTGGGAGGAGAGAGGTTTTAAAAAGATATGGGGACAATATTTTTTTACACGGAGGGTGGTTCACTGAGGAATCAGCTTCCTGAGGAAGTGGGGAAATGTGGATGCAATTACCACGTTTAAAAGACACTTAGATAAGTACATGAATAGGAAAGGTTTGGAGGGATGTGGGCCACGAGCAGGCAGGTGGCACTAGTTTAGTTTGGGATTATGTACGGCGTGGACTGGTTGGACCGAAGGGTCTGTTTTGGTGCTCTATGACTCTATGGCTCTATGGGTACAGAAGGTACTGTCCAAGTTTTTCAAAAGCTTCCCCAGAATTAAGATTAAGCTGAGTTGTTTATAGTTGTTGCATCAGGTCCTTCATTGAATGCCAGTAATTCTCTGGTCCTCTGGCACTATCTCTGAACCTTTGTTGCATGCTTTAAACCAATGGCAATGAAATGAAGATAAGTTAGTTTCACCTTTCAGTGGGTGCTGAATGACTTCATTGAGATCAGTTGGGAATGGGGGGTGAGGAAGGGGTGTGGGGAGGTGGTATGGGAAGAAGTTCTCCAGATTAGAGACCCTCAATACCGCAGAAGATCCAGAATGCCTGGGGAATGAAGTGAATTCACATGACCCTCCCATCACTGGATAATTTGAGATTCACTGCAGAATTTCACCCTTGATGATTTAGCTGCTACTGACAAACGAGCTTATCGACAATAATTATCACTCTCGATATGTTGCCACTTCAGTCGCTATTCAAACTTAGCTTTTAGGGGGTCAAAACAAGCTAAATTCCATTCCAGAAATTACACATTTAAAAACACAAGAATTCATTGCTGGTGTGTATTAGGTTACTGTGTATATTAATAAAACTCGTGGGATTCATTAACATCAAAACATTACCAGGTGGCTTTGGCATGCCAGTGCGCTATTAGCATGGAAGTACCAGAGAAAAGAGTTCCCATGTTGTGCTTCCCCAGAGGCTGAATTTCTCTCCTCATCCGGTGCCAAACAGGGAAGGCATGGAGTGACATTCAGGATAATTTGTCACTGAGGAATAAGGGAAGATCAGAAAACAACACAATGCTCCACCCCATCAAAGTCAAGAAAAGAACAAAGAACAAAGAAAATTACAGGCCCGTCAGCCCTCCAAGCCTGCACCAACATGCTGCGCATCACAACTAAAACTCCTGCCCTTCTGGGGACCTAATCGCTCTATTCCCGTCCTATTCATGTATTTGTCAAGACGCCCTTTAAAACTCACTATTGTATTTGCTTCCAATACCTCCCCCAGCAGCGAGCTCCAGGCACCCACCACCCTCTGTGTAAAAAAATTTGCCTCATACATCACCTTTAAACCTTGCCCCTTGCACCTTAAACCCATGGCCCCTGGTAACTGACTCTTCCACCCTGGGAAAAAGCTTCTGACTGTCCACTCTGTCCATGCCCTTCATAATCTTGTAGACTTCTATCAGGTTGCCCCTCAACCTCTGTCGTTCCAGTGAGAACAACCCAAGTTTCTCCAACCTCTCCTCATAGCTAATGCCCACCATACCAGGCAACATCCTGGGAAATCTTTTCTGTACTCTCTCCAAAGCCACCACATCCTTCTGGTAATGTGGTGACCAGAATTGAACACAATATTCCAAATGCGGCCTAACTAAGGTTCGATAACGCTGCAACATTACCTGCCAATTTTAAAACTCCATGCCCCGGGCTATGAAGGCAAGCTTGCCATATGCCTTGTTGACTACCTTTTCCACCTGTGTTGCCACTTTCAGTAACCTGTGTACCTGTACATCTGCACACATCATCAGACGCCATTTCCGCCACCTCCAGCAAGATGCCACCACCAGACACATATTCCCTTCCCCTCCCTTGTCCGCCTTCCGCAGGGACCGTTACTTCCGGGACACCCTGGTCCATACTTCCTTCACCCCCAACACCTCCCCACAGCCCTACGGCACCTTCCCCTGTAACTGGCGAAGGTACAACACCTGCGCATTTACCTCCTCCCTCCCCAGTATCCAAGGGCCCAAACATACCTTCCAGGTGAAGCAACACTTCACTTGCACTTCCAAGAATCTAGTCTACTATATTTGCTGCTCACAATGTGGTCTCCTCTACACTGGGGAAACGAAGCGTAGACTTGGCAACTGCTTTGCAGAACATCTACGTTCTGCTCGCAAAAAAGACCCTGAACTACCTGTTGCCTGCCACTTCAATGCACCACCCTGCTCCCTGGCCAACATCTCTGTCTCCAGCTTGCTGCAGTGTTCCAGTGAATCCCAACGCAAGCTGAAGGAACAACACCTCATTTTCCACTTGTGGACCCTACAGCCCTCTGGACTCAATATTGAGACAACAAGGTGCAGGGCTGGATGAACACAGCAGGCCAAGCAGCATCATAGGAGCAGAGAGGCAATAATTTTAGGGCCTAAACTCTCCCATGTCCCAGCCCCCCACCCCACACACCAGGCCTTGTTACCACATAGCCTGCCACAACACACCCCCTGTTGTTAGTCACTAACAGTCCCCATTAACAACTATTCACCCTCCCAGCCTGATCGTTAGCAACTCCTTTGTCCGTCCAACTGTCTTTCTCTCTCTTTGGGCTCTATCCTATCGTTTACTCCCTACTCCACCCACCTCCCTATTTTCTGCATATAAACTTACATTTTCCCAGCCACCATCAGTTCTGAGGAAGGGTCACCGGACCCGAAATGTTAACTCTGTTTTCTCCTCCACAGATGCTGCCAGACCTGCTGAGCTTTTCCAGCAACTTTGTTTTTGTTCCTGATTTACAGCATCCTCAGTTCTTTTGGTTTTTACCTGTACATCCAGATCCCTCTGCCTATCAATACCTTTAAAGGTTCTGCCATTTACTGTATATTTTCCGTCTGGATTAGACCATCCGAAATGCATTATCTCACATTTTTCTAGATTAAACTCCATCTGCCATCTCTCTGCCCAAGTCACCAACCGACCTGTATCCAGCTGTATCCTTTGACAGTCCTCATTGCTATCCGCAATTCCAGCAACCTTTGTGTCATCGGTAAACTTACTAATCAGACCAGTTACATTCTCCTCCAAATCATTTATATACATTACGAACAGCAAAGGTCCCAACACTGATCCCTGGGGAATACCTCTTGTCACAGCCTTCCATTCAGAAACTTACCCTTCCACTGCTACCTTCTGTCTTCTATGACGGAGCCAATTTTTTATCCATCTTGCAAGCTCACCTCTGACCCCGTGTGACTTTACCTTCTGTATCAGTCTGCCATGAGGGACCTTGTCAAAGGCCTTACTGAAGTCCATGTAGACAACATCCACTATCCTACCCTCATTGATCATCTTCGTCACTTCCGCAAAAAACTCAACCAAGTTAGTGAGAGACAACTTCCCCTTCACAAA